ACCTTTCAAAGTCAGTACTACCGTAATAATTAAAGTATAATATAATACATCTCTGCGTGGGTGTGTGTGGTGTTGTTGGGGGGGGGGGGGGGGGGGGGGGGGTTGTGGGAGGGTCATAACTGGTTTAGAAAATAGAAAACAATACATATTATTGTTTTAACGGGTTAAAAAAAAAGCTCGAGATATCAAAAACATAAATAACCCCAATACATATGTAAATTTATCTAACTAAAACAGAGATCTCAAACAACAGTACCGTCAAAGTTTGGACCCCCCTTTCCCCTTCCCAGGGTTTTTTTTTATTTTTACATTGTAAATAATAGTAAGACTTAAAACTATAAATAAACATTGGAATTGTAAAACCAAAAAAAACTGTTAAACAAATCAAAATATAGTTTTAGATTCTTCAAAGTAGCCACCCTTTGCCTTGATGACAGCTTTGCACACTCTTGGCATTCTCTCAACCAGCTTCACCTGGAATGTAATCTGACCTAATTAGAAACAGAGATCTCAATACATATGTATTCTGACCTAATTAGAAACAGAGATCTCGATACATATGTAATCTGATCTAACTAGAAACAGAGATCTCGATACATACAGTGCGTTTGGAAAGTATTCAGACCCATTCCCTTTTTCCACGTTTTTGTTATGTACAACCCTTTATTCTAAAATTGATTAATTGATTTTTTCCTTCATCAATCTACACACAATACCCCATAAAGACTAAAGGAAGACAGGTTTTTAGAAATGTTTGCTAATTTATTAAAAACAAAAAACAGATACCTTATTTACATAAGTATTCAGACCCTTTGCTATGAGACTCGAAGGAATTGTCCGTAGAGCTCCAAGACAGGATTGTGTCGAGGCACAGATCTGGGGAAGGGTACCAAAACATTTCTGCAGCATTGAATGTCCCCAAGAACATTCTTAAAGGGAAAAAATTTTGGAACCCCCAAAGACTTTCGAGCACCGCCCGGCCAAAAATGACAAGGGGGGAAAGGCCTGGTCGGGGGGTGACTAAGTTCATAAATCCCGCTTCCTAGTCGGTTTCTGCCCTAGTTCCCTGAACGACCCGTCTGGTTCCCGGGGCGACAAAGAAAGGCGGGGATCTCTCCATTGCCCACCTCATCTCATACTATCTGCCCCGGGTTTTCTATCATCCCTCCCCTTTTAAGCCCCCCTGACTTTCCTTCCCGCCGGGATCTTAGCCTGAACATTACCTCCCGGAATTTTCCTCCACCTCGCCTGATCGTTTTGGCTTCAGAAACTCCTTGGATCTCCCCATTCACTCCATCAACTCCCCTTCACGCCCCCCCGTCACCTGGATTTCCTGCTTCCCTTTTAAGTATTTAAATAAATACTCACCTTCATTCAACTCACCTTGTCCTGGTCTGCTTCTGGGTTCCGCTTTACAGAATCGTGACACTAAGAACCCGATGGTCACTCTGACAGAGCTCCAGAGTTCCTCTGTGGAGATGGGAGAACCTTCCAGAACGACAACCATCTCTGCAGCACTCCACCAATCAGGCCTTTATGGTAGAGTGGCCAGACGGAAGCCACTCCTCATTAAAAGGCACATGACAGCCCGCTTGGAATTTGCCAAAAGGCACCTAAAGGACTCTCAGACCATGAGAAACAAGATTCGCTGGTCTGATGAAACCAAGACAGAACACTTTGGCCTGAATGCCAAGCGTGGTGGTGGCAGTATCATGCTGTGGGGATGTTTTTCAGCGGCAGGGACTGGTAGACTAGTCAGGATTGAGGGAAAGATGAACGGAGCAATGTACAGAGAGATCCTTGATGAAAACCTGCTCCAGAGCGCTCAGGACCTCAGACTGGGATGAAGGTTCACCTTCCCACAGGACAACGACCCTAAGCACACAGCCAAGATAACACAGTAGTGGCATCAGGACAAGTCTCTGAATGTCCTTGAGTGGCCCAGCCAGAGCCCGGACTTGAACCCGATCGAACATCTCTGGAGAGACCTGAAAATAGCTGTGGCGCGACGCTCCCCCCCCCAATCACAGCGCTTGGAGGAAAAACAAAGGGGGCCCAACTTGACGTCATACCCAAGAAACTCGAGGTGTAATCGCTGCAAAGGGGGCTTAAAAAAAAGTCCCGAGTAAAGGGTTTAATATTATTAAAATTTAATTTTTAGAATTTTTTAAAAAAACCCTTTTTTTTTTGTCATTATGGGGGTTTTTTGTGTAGATTGATTAAGGGAAAAAACGATTTAAAAAGAATTAATTTTAATTCGTAACTAAATGTGGAAAATGTCAAGGGTCTTTTAAAACTTTTCCGAATGCCGTAGAATCTGATCTAACTAAACAGAGATCTCAAAACATATGAAACTGATCAACTGAAAAGTGATCTCAATCATACACTATAATCAAAGTATTGACCCCCTTAAAATTTGTGGATTGGCTATTTACCCGCACACCCTGCAATCTCCATAGCCCAACTTTGGCATAAAAGGGCCTTTATGAAGAGCTCAGGAATTCAAAGGGCACCGTATAGGATGCTACCTTTCCAAAGTCTTTGTCAAATTCCGCCCTGCTAGAGTGCCCCTTTGGGACTTTGGGGCAGTGAAAAAGCGTTCTCTGGGTGATGATCACCTTCACCATCTGGCAGTCCCCAGGCGAAAACTGGGTTTGGCGGTCCGGAAACGCTACCCGCTCCATCAAGTGCTAACTGTAAAGTTTTGGTGGGGAGGAATAATGGGCTGGGGGCTGTTTTTTTTTGGGTTTTTGGGCTAGGGGCTTATTTTTCCCTGAAGGGAAAACTTTAAACCACAGCATACAATGAATTTTAGACGATTCTTGTGTTTCAACTTTGTGGCAACGTTTTGGGGGAAAGGGCCCTTATGTTTCAGCACGACAAAGCCCCCCTTTCACAAAGCGGGGCCCCACAGAAAGGTTTTTCAATCGGTGTGGAAGAACTACTGGCCTCACGACCCTGACCTCAAACCCCTCGATCACCCTTTGGGATGAATTTTGGAAAAGCCCATGCGAGCAGGCCTAAACGCCCCCACAGTTTTCCCGACCTCACTAAAGCTCTTGTGGCTGAAAGGAAGAAGTCCCCGCAGCAATGTTTCCAAAATCTAGTGGAAAGCCTTTCAGAGAGTGGAGGGTTTTTAAAGCAAAGGGGGGGACCAATCCATATTTAAAGTGTTTTTTTGGAAGGAAGTTCCAACATGCCCCTAATTTTGGGATTGTTATGAAAAACCACTAAAAACCCAGCACTTTTAAAAAACCCCAAAAAGGGGCAATTGAGCCCCAAAATAAAGCTATTTTTATGTGTTAGGAATGTTTAATTTTATTTTTTTCCCCCCTTATTTTAGGCGTGGGGGGTTTGGGGGGGGTTTTTCCCCCCCCCCTTTTGGTTTAGGGTCACCCCTTTTGGGTTTTTTTGTTTTTGGGGGTTTTTTTCCCCCCCCCCCCCCAAAAGGGGGGCTCGCCGTAACAACCAAATAAAACCCTTTTTTCGGGGCTTAATTTTTGGGAGGATTTGACCCCCCCCAGGGGAGGGGGAAGGAAGAGGAGGGAAAAAAGGGGAAGGGAGGGGGAAAAAAGGGGAAAAAAAGGGGGGAAGGGGCGAAAAGAAACGGGGGGGGGAGGGAAGGAGAGAGAAGAAAGAGAAGAAGAGGGGGTTTGGGGTTTTTTGGGGGGGGGGGGGGGGGGGGGGGGGGGGGTTTTTTTTGGGGGGGGGTTTTTTTTTTTTTGGTTTTTTTTTGGTTTTTTTTTTTTTTTTTCCCCCCCCCCCCCCCTTTGGGGGGGGGGGGCCCCCCCCCCCCCCCCCCCCCGGGGGGGGGGGGGGGGGGGGGGGCCCCCCCCCCAAAAGGGGGGGGGGGGGGTTTTAAAAAAGGTTTTAAAAAAGGGGGAAAAAAAAGGGGGGTTTTTCTTTAAATGGAGTTTACCCCTTTGCTTGCCCCCTTCCCCTTTTTTTTCCCCCCAAAAACCTAAATTCCCCCCAAAAAATTTTTAAATTGGGGATATGAATGTGAATATGTAATAATTTTTTTTGTTTTTTAATAATTATTTTTCCCCCCCGGGGGGGGTTTCCCGTGGAATTGCTCACTCAGGACGAGGTATGGGGACACGAACACAGGGGAGAGTCTGGTAGTCTGCGCTTGTAATGTCCTCTGGTGCTAACACTTTTTTTTTTTTGTAGAATGGCTGTTGCGTAACAATGTACCAGGCTGTTGTGTGTGGGTGTCTGAGTGAAGAGCAGACAGACGCAGAGAGATAGAGAGAGATAGAGGAGATCGAGATATTCGAGATATAGAATAGTATTGTATTAAGATCTATCGCGAGAATATAGATTCTAGCTAAGATCTATAATCATGTTATATGGGAGTTCCTAACATCTCTAATATTAATAGAGATATATCTCTATTAATAGATATCCTTACATATATCTGCTCTCTATCTACTAGCTATCTCTCTCTCAATCATCTCTCTCTCTCTCTCTCTCTGTCGTCTCTCTACCGAGATCTACTCTCATCTCTCTCTCGTACCCGTTCTTCTCCGCTCTCTCTCTCCAATGCGGTTCTCTCTCGGGGTTCGTCTCTCTCCTCGTTTCCTCTCTCTCTTCTTAGAAGGGGGGGCGGGGGGGATCAGTGGTTACCGTGTACTTTTGCATCAGGGGGCGGGGAGAAGGGGGGGTGGGAGAGGGGGAGGAGCAAAGGGGAGGCTACGAGAGGTTTTAAAGAGGGAAAACAGGAAAGGGAATTAATATAAGGCTGAGACTGTGATGTTGATGGAACAGATGGTTCTATTGCTTTAATAGGATCGCCTCACTTCAACACCCTCACTGCTGCTTCCCAAATGGCACCCTATCTCCTATCAAGTGCACTACATTTGACCAGGGCTCATAAGGCTCTCATCAAAAGTAGTGCACTATATAGAATGTAGAATATGTAATAGGGCACTTGAGTTGTAATTTGTTGATATATTGTGAAATAATATATTTCCCTCCTTCCTTTTGTGCGGCTCCAGCTGGACATTCTGATTGGGAACCTGCCGGAGATGGTGCAGTTCCAGGTGGAATTCCTGAAGACTCTAGAAGACGGGACCAGACTGGTTCCAGACCTGGAGAAGCTGGAGAGAGTGGACCAATTCAAGGTACAAAATAACACCCAGCCTGGTACCAAATAACAGCCTGCCTGGAACCAAATAACACCCAGCCTGGTACCAAATAACAGCCTGCCTGGAACCAAATAACACCCAGCCTGGTACCAAATAACACCCAGCCTGGTACCAAATAACACCTAGCCTGGTACCAAATAACACCCAGCCTAGTACCAAATAACACCTAGCCTGGTACCAAATAACACCCAGCCTAGTACCAAATAACACCTAGCCTGGTACCAAATAACACCCAGCCTGGTACCAAATAACACCCAGCCTAGTACCAAATAACACCTAGCCTGGTACCAAATAACACCCAGCCTAGTACCAAATAACACCTAGCCTGGTACCAAATAACACCCAGCCTAGTACCAAATAACACCTAGCCTGGTACCAAATAACACCCAGCCTGGTACCAAATAACACCCAGCCTGGTACCAAATAACACCCTGCCTGGAACCAAATAACACCCAGCCTGGTACCAAATAACACCCAGCCTGGTACCAAATAACACCCAGCCTGGTACCAAATAACACCCAGCCTGGTACCAAATAACACCCAGCCTGGTACCAAATAACACCCAGCCTGGTACCAAATAACACCCAGCCTGGAACGAGGACTTCAATTGACTGTGGAACCTACATCTGACATTTTAACTGGCCGCCGCAACCAAAACACATTGTGTAACCACGACTCTCCTCTCCTTCTCAGAAAATCCTCTTCTCTCTAGGAGGTTCCTTCCTGTACTATGCAGACCGTTTTAAGATCTACAGTGCGTTCTGCGCCAGTCACACCAAAGTCCCCAAGGTGCTCGTAAAGGGTGAGTTAAACACAGTTAGTGTGTGTGTGTGTGTGCTTGTGTGTGTGCTTGTGTGTGTGCGTGTGTGTGTGCGTGTGTGTGTGTGTGCTTGTGTGTGTGTGTGCTTGTGTGTGTGTGTGCTTGTGTGTGTGTGTGTGTGTGTGTGTGTGTGTGTGTGTGTGTGCTTGTGTGTGTGTGTGTGTGTGCTTGTGTGTGTCCAAGCTGCTCATAAAGGGTGTGTATATCACAGTTAAAACCTGAAGCATTCCTCCCTGGCACCTCTGGTGTTTCCACTGACCCGACCTGCTCCACCCTGCACTACAGAGATGGGCTGCCCCACATGATACAGAAATATCTCATTTACATAGGTATTCACAGCCCTGAGTCAATACATGTTAAAATCACCTTTGGCAGCGATTACAGCTGTGTCTTTCTGGGTAAGTCTCTAAGAGCTTTCCACACCTGGATTGTACAATATAAGACCATTATTATTTTAAAAATTCTTCAAGCTCTGTCAAATTGGTTGTTGATCATTGCTAGACAACCATTTTCAAGTCTTGCCATATATTTTCAAGCAGATTTAATTAAGTCCAAACTGTAACTCGGCCACTCAGGAACATTCACTATTTTCTTGGTAAGCAACGCCAGTATAGATTTGGCCTTGTGTTTTAGGTTATTGTCCTGCTGAAAGGTGAATTCATCTCCCAGTGTCTGTTGTAAAGCGTACTGAACCAGGTTTTCCTCTAGGATTTTGCCTGTGCTTAGCTCCATTCTGTTAATTTTTTATCCTGGAAAACTCCCCAGTCCTTAACGATTACAAGCATACCCATAACATGATGCAGCCACCACTATGCTTGAAAATATGGAGAGTGGTACTTAGTAATGTGTTGTATTGTATTTGCCCCAAAACATAACACCTTGTATTCCTGACAAAAAGTTAATTACTTTGCCACATTTTTTGCTGTGTTACTTTAATACCTTGTTGCAAACAGGATACATGTTTTGGAGTATTTTTATTCTGTACAGGCTTCCTTCTTTTCACTCTGTCAATTAGGTTAGTATTGTGGAGTAAATACAATGTTGTTGATCCATCCTCAGTTTTCTCCTATCACAGCCATTCAACTCTTAACTGTTTTAAAGTCACCATCACGGTTTCCTCCCTCTCAGTGTTGAATGACCTCTTCGTAGCTACAACGGAATGTGTTTCTTAGGACAGTGTTGAATGACCTCTTCATAGCTACAACAGAATGTGTTTCTTAGGACAGTGTTGAATGACCTCTTCATAGCTACAACGGAATGTGTTTCTTAGGACAGTGTTGAATGACCTCTTCATAGCTACAATGGAATGTGTTTCTTAGGACAGTGTTGAATGACCTCTTCATAGCTACAATGGAATGTGTTTCTTAGGACAGTGTTGAATGACCTCTTCATAGCTACAACGGAATGTGTTTCTTAGGACAGTGTTGAATGACCTCTTCATAGCTACAATGGAATGTGTTTCTTAGGACAGTGTTGAATGACCTCTTCATAGCTACAATGGAATGTGTTTCTTAGGACAGTGTTGAATGACCTCTTCATAGCTACAATGGAATGTGTTTCTTAGGACAGTGTTGAATGACCTCTTCATAGCTACAACGGAATGTGTTTCTTAAAACAGTGTTGAATGACCTCTTCATAGCTACAACGGAATGTGTTTCTTAGGACAGTGTTGCTCAACTCTGGTCCTTGACTACCCCCAAACTCTACCTCACACATTATTATTGGAACCCCGGACATACACACCTTATTTAACTATTCAATGGCCAGATGATTTTCTAAAGATCACTTATTAGGAGCAGCAAACATACTTTGGGTCCAGTTCCTGTGAATAGGAGGAAGAGGCGTGACGTCTTCTGCATTATAAAAAAATACAATTGATTGTAAATCCATTAAAAAATAGAGTGATGTTTCGGTCGTAGACCTTTATCAGACAAACGTTTGGTTGTATATGACACTCCCCTTTACTCTGCTTCCAGCTAAGACAGAAGAGAAAGGGTTGTTCTTTAATTACCTTTTATTAACAGATCACATGGTAGCAGCAGACGGTCAAGGGGCTTCTTTATGTTGGATCTTATTTAATAGTCCAGCTCTTCTGAAACGTTTTGGAGGTTATGTGTGTAAAACCTTCTCTCCTCCCCTCTCATTGCGTCTAGCTAAGACCGATGCAGACTTCAAGGCGTTTCTGGAAGAGAGGAACCCTAAACAGCAACACTCCTCAACCCTGGAGTCCTACCTGATCAAACCGATCCAGAGAGTCCTGAAGTACCCACTTCTACTGAGGGAGCTGTACTCACTGACTGACCCTGAGAGTGAAGAACACTATCACCTGAATGGTAAGGTGGGAGGGGGGAGGGAGGGAGGAGGGAGGAGGGAGGAGGGAGGGGGGAGGGGGGAGGAGGGAGGAGGGAGGGGGGGAGGGAGGGAGCTGTACTCACTGACTGACCCTGAGAGTGAAGAACACTATCACCTGAATGGTAAGGAGGGAGGGGGGAGGGAGGGAGGAGGGAGGGGGGAGGGAGGGAGGAGGGAGGGGGGAGGAGGGAGGAGGGAGGAGGGAGGGGGGGAGGAGGGAGGAGGGAGGAGGGAGGGGGGAGGAGGGAGGGGGGAGGGAGCTGTACTCACTGACTGATCCTGACAGTGAAGAACACTATCACCTGAATGGGGAGGAGGGAGGGGTATGTATATGTATGTGTATGTGTTTATACAGTGGGGAGAACAAGTATTTGATACACTGCCGATTTTGCAGGTTTTCCTACTTACAAAGCATGTAGAGGTCTGTAATTTTTTATCATAGGTACACTTCAACTGTGAGAGACGGAATCTAAAACAAAAATCTAGAAAATCACATTGTATGATTTTTAAGTAATTAATTTGCATTTTATTGCATGACATAAGTATTTGATCACCTACCAACCAGTAAGAATTCCGTCTCTCACAGACCTGTTAGTTTTTCTTTAAGAAGCCCTCCTGTTCTCCACTCATTACCTGTATTAACTGCACCTGTTTGAACTCGTTACCTGTATAAAAGACACCTGTCCACACACTCAATCAAACAGACTCCAACCTCTCCACAATGGCCAAGACCAGAGAGCTGTGTAAGGACATCAGGGATAAAATTGTAGACCTGCACAAGGCTGGGATGGGCTACAGGACAATCGGCAAGCAGCTTGGTGAGAAGGCAACAACTGTTGGTGCAATTATTAGAAAATGGAAGAAGTTCAAGATGACGGTCAATCAACCTCGGTCTGGGGCTCCATGCAAGATCTCACCTCGTGGGGCATCAATGATCATGAGGAAGGTGAGGGATCAGCCCAGAACTACACGGCAGGACCTGGTCAATGACCTGAAGAGAGCAGGGACCACAGTCTCAAAGAAAACCATTAGTAACACACTACGCCGTCATGGATTAAAATCCTGCAGCGCATGTAAGGTCCCCCTGCTCAAGCCAGCGCATGTCCAGGCCCGTCTGAAGTTTGCCAATGACCATCTGGATGATCCAGAGGAGGAATGGGAGAAGGTCATGTGGTCTGATGAGACAAAAATAGAGCTTTTTGGTCTAAACTCCACTCGCCGTGTTTGGAGGAAGAAGAAGGATGAGTACAACCCCAAGAACACCATCCCAACCGTGAAGCATGGAGGTGGAAACATAATTCTTTGGGGATGCTTTTCTGCAAAGGGGACAGGACGACTGCACCGTATTGAGGGGAGGATGGATGGGGCCATGTATCGCGAGATCTTGGCCAACAACCTCCTTCCCTCAGTAAGAGCATTGAAGATGGGTCGTGGCTAGGTCTTCCAGCATGACAACGACCCAAAACACACAGCCAGGGCAACTAAGGAGTGGCTCCGTAAGAAGCATCTCAAGGTCCTGGAGTGACCTAGCCAGTCTCCAGACCTGAACCCAATAGAAAATCTTTGGAGAGAGCTGAAAGTCCGTATTGCCCAGCGACAGCCCCGAAACCTGAAGGATCTGGAGAAGGTCTGTATGGAGGAGTGGGCCAAAATCCCTGCTCCAGTGTGTGCAAACCTGGTCAAGACCTACAGGAAACGTATGATCTCTGTAATTGCAAACAAAGGTTTCTGTACCAAATATTAAGTTCTGCTTTTCTGATGTATCAAATACTTATGTCATGCAATAAAATGCAAATTAATTACTTAAAAATCATACAATGTGATTTTCTGTATTTTTGTTTTAGATTCCGTCTCTCACAGTTGAAGTGTACCTATGATAAAAATTACAGACCTCTACATGCTTTGTAAGTAGGAAAACCTGCAAAATCGGCAGTGTGTCAAATACTTGTTCTCCCCACTGTATGTGTGTAGGTATGTGTATGTATGTGTATGTGTATATACAGTGGGGAGAACAAGATTTGATCACATTGTATGATTTTTAAGTAATTCATTTGCATTTTATTGCATGACATAAGTATTTGATACATCAGAAAAGCAGAACTTAATATTTGGTACAGAAACCTTTGTTTGCAATTACAGAGATCATACGTTTCCTGTAGGTCTTGAACAGGTTTGCACACACTGCAGCAGGGATTTTGGCCCACTCCTCCATACAGACCTTCTCCAGATCCCTCAGGTTTCGGGGCTGTCGCTGGGCAAGTGTCCAAACACGGCGAGTGGAGTTTAGATCAAAAAGCTCTATATTTGTCTAATCAGACCACATGACCTTCTCCCATTCCTCCTCTGGATCATCCAGATGGTCATTGGCAAACTTCAGACGGGCCTGGACATGCGCTGGCTTGAGCAGGGTGACCTTGCGAGCGCTGCAGGATTTTAATCCATGACGGCATAGTGTGTTACTAATGGTTTTCTTTGAGACTGTGGTCCCAGCTCTCTTCAGGTCATTGACCAGGTCCTGCCATGTAGTTCTGGGCTGATCCCTCACCTTCCTCATGATCATTGATGCCCCACGAGGTGAGATCTTGCATGGAGCCCCAGACCGAGGGTGATTGACCGTCATCTTGAACTTCTTCCATTTTCTAATAATTGCGCCAACAGTTGTTGCCTTCTCACCAAGCTGCTTGCCTATTGTCCTGTAGCCCATCCCAGCCTTGTGCAGGTCTACAATTTTATCCCTGATGTCCGTACACAGCTCTCTGGTCTTGGCCATTGTGGAGAAGTTGGAGTCTGTTTGATTGAGTGTGTGGACAGGTGTCTTTTATACAGGTAACGAGTTCAAACAGGTGCAGTTAATACAGGTAATGAGTGGAGAACAGGAGGGCTTCTTAAAGAAAAACTAACAGGTCTGTGAGAGCCGGAATTCTTACTGGTTGGTAGGTGATCAAATACTTATGTCATGCAATAAAATGCAAATTAATTTCTTAAAAATCATACAATGTGATTTTCTAGATTTTTGTTTTAGATTCCGTCTCTCACAGTTGAAGTGTACCTATGATATATATATAAAACATGGGGGATTGGAAGTGATGCAGACAATTACATTGATGGAAGTTACAATCTATCTGCAATATTAAAGCTGATCTACCCCCCCCAAATTTTTTTTTTTTTTTAAATATATTTTGTGTGAATGGGATTAGGGTTATTAGGGTTATTAGGGTTATTAGGGTTGTTAGGGTTATTAGGGTTATTAGGGTTGTTAGGGTTATTAGGGTTGTTAGGGTTATTAGGGTTATTAGGGTTAGTATAATTATGATCCTCTTGTCTTCTCTCTGCATCCTGTCCAGTTGCTATGAAGGCCATGAACAAGGTGGCCAGTCACATCAATGAGATGCAGAAGATCCACGAGGAGTTTGGGTTGGTGTTTGACCAGCTCATAGCGGAACAGAGTGGAGACAAGAAAGAGGTGCGGTTGTTGTTGGAAGTCTCCTCATGTTCTCCAGGTGTGTCTGTGGTGTCCAGTGGCTGTGTGGCTCAAATTACACCCCAACACACTGTACTTCTTTAGAAAATTGCCATGGCTCTGGTCTAAGGAAGTGCACTATATAAGGGAATAGGGGGTGTCGTTTGAGAATTTCTCAGAGTATGTTGAGGGATTGCATTGCTGTAACATTGGTGTGTTGTTAATGTAACATTATTGTGTTGTAACATGGTTGTGTTGTGTGTTCTAGGTTGCTGATCTGTCGATGGGTGACTTGCTGCTACACACCAGCGTAGCCTGGATCAACCCTCCCTCCTCCCTGGGCAAATGGAAGAAAGACCCCCAACTGGCTGCATTCAGTACGTTATAAGGACAAGACGTAGTGTGCATCCGATATGGCCTTCTCAGAACCATGCAGATAATGTGGTTCTAGTTGTCTAGAACAGGACAAAGCTACTTAGAACCTTCTCTAGATCCCTCTTAAGCTGGCTGTCTGTTACATAAGGATACATGTACCACTCTGTCTAATGACAGACGTAGTGTCCCAAATGGCACCCTTATTCCATATATAGTGCACTACTTTTGACCACAGCCCATTTGGGACTGAGCGCAAGCCTGCTCACTCAATTAACATAATACTATATTATGGTAGCTTATTCATGTATTTGAAAAAGTATTACTCAAACACTGAAATCTTTCTGCTAACCCTTTCATCACCCTCTTCATGGTTCAGTCTTCAGAACAGCCGTGGTGTTTGTGTGTAAGGATGGCTCCAAGCAGAAGAAGAAAATGGTGAGTTCCATCTCTTAATACAACCCACGTTCAACCATGGTTTCTGTGAATCCTACCAGTCTTAATACAACCCACGTTCAACCATGGTTTCTGTGAATCCTACCAGTCTTAATACAACCCACGTTCAACCATGGTTTCTGTGAATCCTACCAGTCTTAATACAACCCACGTTCAACCATGGTTTCTGTGAATCCTACCAGTGATATTCCATTCCCATCAAGTGGTTCTAATATATTTGGTTTTGTTGAAGCAACACTTCCATAACTAGTCCAGTGGGACAGTGGTACCTTCCATAACTAGTCCAGTGGGACAGTGGTACCTTCCATAACTAGTCCAGTGGGACAGTGGTACCTTCCATAACTAGTCCAGTGGGACAGTGGTACCTTCCATAACTAGTCCAGTGGGACAGTGGTACCTTCCATAACTAGTCCTGCGGGTCAGTGGTACCTTCCATAACTAGTCCAGTGGGACAGTGGTACCTTCCATAACTAGTCCTGCGGGTCAGTGGTACCAGCTGATGTATTTTAAAACGCATATCACACAGCCATCTAAACCAACCTGCAGCTCACATGACAAAAATGTACTAAAATTGTCACACCCCTGTAACTTATAAACTTAGAAAGGCTTTATAGAGCATTCATAAAGTCTTCATAAGCACTACATAGATGCTTTGGCAATCATTTATGCGTCTGTTTGGGTTCGTATCTAAGGTCTATCTGTGTGTCTCTCAGGGTGGCTCCCATCGAGTGTCGTCAGTCTCGTCTGAAGACAAGGACCCATTCCGCTTCCGTCACATGATCTCCACAGACACCCTCCAAGTCCGAGCCCTCAATAACCAAGGTACAGTTCAGTGTAATATTGAGTCCTCAATAACCAAGGTACAGTTCAATATAGAGCCCTCAATAACCAAGGTACAGTTCAATATTGAGTCCTCAATAACCAAGGTACAGTTTAATATAGAGCCCTCAATAACCAAGGTACAGTTCAATATAGAGCCCTCAATAACCAAGGTACAGTTTAATATAGAGCCCTCAATAACCAAGGTACAGTTCAATATAGAGCCCTCAATAACCAAGGTACAGTTCAATATAGAGCCCTCAATAACCAAGGTACAGTTCAATGTAGAGCCCTCAATAACCAAGGTACAGTTCAATTCAATATAGAGCCCTCAATAACCAAGGTAGAGTTCAATATAGAGCCCTCAATAACCAAGGTACAGTTCAATTCAATATAGAGTCCTCAATAACCAAGGTACAGTTCAATGTAGAGCCCTCAATAACCAAGGTACAGTTCAATATAGAGCCCTCAATAACCAAGGTACAGTTCAATTCAATATAGAGTCCTCAATAACCAAGGTACAGTTCAATGTAGAGCCCTCAATAACCAAGGTACAGTTCAATATAGAGCCCTCAATAACCAAGGTAAAGTACACTCAACCATGCTGATGAATCCTGTTACAGTTTATTAATGCATTATTTGAGTCATTTGGCACACACTTAAGACTCAACCATTCCTGTATTGACTTTGTAATTCTCTGTCTGAATAGACATTATGTTCTTTGTAATGTTCTTCTCTTTCTGAATAGACATGATATTCTTTGTAATGTTCTTCTCTTTCTGAATAGACATGATGTTCTTTGTAATGTTCTTCTCTTTCTGAATAGACATGATGTTCTTTGTAATGTTATTCTCTTTCTGAATAGACATGATGTTCTTTGTAATGTTCTTCTCTTTCTGAATAGACATGATGTTCTTTGTAATGTTCTTCTCTTTCTGAATAGACATGATGTTCTTTGTAATGTTCTTCTCTTTCTGAATAGACATGATGTTCTTTGTAATGTTATTCTCTTTCTGAATAGACATGATGTTCTTTGTAATGTTCTTCTCTGACACGATGGAGTGAGATAAAGATAGTCAGTGACTACAAATGAGTTGTTCTGTTCTGTACGTGAGGTCATAACTCTGTGTGTTCCATGCAGATGGAGAGGGCTCTGCCGTGTGTGAGATCGTCCACGTCAAGTCCGAGTCAGAAGGACGGCCGGAGAGGACATTCCACCTGTGCTGCAGGTGAGCGTCCTCATCCAACTGATGGCATGTCCGTCAGTCCTGACCGAAGGCAACAATGACGTTAAGTCACTGATTTATTTTGGAAACACCCTCAATAGCTTTTAATCGTTTTCATTTTAAATATATTTTCTTCATATTTAATTCATTAATATAGCTCCTTTCCAGATGCCGAAAGCGCTATTAGAAGGGAAACTCCTTGATGCTGATTAATGCTGTGGCTGTAGGCCTATATATGTCTTAACGATCTGAGAATGTTTTAATTATCCTACCAATTAAATAAATCAAATCAAATGTTATTTGTCACATGCGCAGATAAGAGCGTCTGCTAAATGACAAAAAATAAAAAAAATAAAAAAATATGTGCGGGGGTACAGGTTAGTTAAGGTAATTTGTACATGTAGGTGGGGGGGGGGTCAATGTAAATAGTCTGGGTGGCCATTTGCGTAATTGTTCAGCTGTCTTATGGCTTGGGGGTAGAAGCTGTTAAGAAGCCTTTTGGACCTAGACTTGGCGCTCCGGTACCGTTTGCCGTGCGGTAGCAGAGAGAACAGTCTATGACTTGGGTGACTGGAGTCTTTGACAATTCTTTGGGCCTTCATCTGACACCGCCTGGTATATAGGTCCTGGATGGCAGGAAGCTTGGCCCCAGTGATGTACTGGGCCATACGCACTACCCTCTGTAGTGCCTTACGGTCAGATGCCGAGCAGTTGCCATACCAGGCGGTGATGCAACCGGTCAAGATTCTCTCGATGGTGCAGCTGTAGAACTTTTTGAGGATCTCGGGACCCATGCCAAATCTTTTTTCAAATCTCTCTCTCGTCCAGTTCTGTGGACAGTAAGAAGGACTTCCTGAAGGCAGTCCACTCCATCCTAAGAGATAAACAACGACGTCAACTGATGAAGACAGAGTCTCTACCTCCCAACCAGCAGTATGTCCCCTTCGGAGGCAAACGCCTCTGTGCCCTGAAGGGAGCCAGACCTGCCATGAACAGAACAGGTGGGGTGAGATGGGGGGCGTGTGTGTGCTTGTGTGATTAAAGCAGGTAAACGCTAACAACTAGCTTACGCTGTGTATATGTTATATCTCATCTATTGTTGTTGAAGCAAGGTTGTTATCTAATCAATTCATCCCACTGGAACCATGATGTCTGTTTCTCTTCCCTCTGCAGTGTCAGACCCGGCGCGGACCCTGGGCCGGAGGAAGCTGGTGCGGAACCGTTTCACCATCGACACAGACATTGTCTTCGACGGCGAGCCAGACCAGGAGTCCCCACTGTCCCCTGAAGAGCCTGAGGGACAGGGACAAAGGGAAGGACAGGGAAAGGAACAGGGGGAGGTGCAGGCTACAGACCAGGGGGAGGTGCAGGCAGGGGATACAGACCGCTGGGTGGAGGAGCAGTTTGACCTGGAATGCTACGAGGAGGAGCAGGCGGCGCAGAAGGAGACGCAGGTGGAAGGAGGAGGTGACGTTAAAGAAACAGACATCCTTAGTGATGATGATGATTTCTGCCAGTCTGTCAGAGGACCATCCACTGAATCACCGTCCAACACAGACCTAGAGGGGCCTGTAGGGGGCCTGTCCCTGGGAGAGGAAGGCCAAGAGGGGGGCCATAAACACCACCAGCCCCAGGGAGCCACGGGGACCACCACCCCAGGGATGAGACTTTCCCACCTGGGGAAGCAGTGTGTCCTGGCTGGGATGAGCGTGGATGACCAGCGGGCTGAGGACATCTGGGTACGCAGGGAGAACTGTCCCCTGGACGTTGATGCTGTGACACAACAGAGCTAGACTAGAAGACCGGCAGACAGTTACAGACAGTGTGTCTCACCACTCAGACAGAGAGCTTTACATGAGTTACAAATGGCACCCTTTTCCCTATTTAGTGCACTTCTTTTGACCAGGGCCCATAGGGAGCATACCATAGCGGAGCGCCAAGTAGTGCACTATATAGGGAATAGGGTGCCAATTGGGACGCAAACATGAGCTTCAAGACGAGACGATCAGTGAACTTTCAATCAATCAATCCACACCCATCAAGAACACATGTGCATAGACATGCATGGCACAGCTACTTCAAGCTACTACATCGCCTCCTTGTCAGTGTGCTTGAATGCATTGTTTTGTACAGTGTACAGATAGACTGGTGAACCTCAAACCGAAGCCCTCTAATGGGAGCAATACTGGAATACAGGGAGAGGAGGGATCTTATCCAATAAACCAATCATACGGCGACATGGAGGGGGTCTAATCCAATCATATGGTGACGTGGAGGCCAAGCTGTGAAAGACTGACTGAGTGGCTGGTTGACTGGCTGGCTCACTGTCTGATGGTACAATCATGGACCCTAATCAATACTGTTGCTTGGCATGGTTTGATTCCTGGGGTACTATAGGTTCCTGATTATTGTTGCCAAATGTGGGTATTTGTTGTGAACACATGAAACGCAACATTATCACTATAACTACTACCTGAAGGAGGGAAACGAGGTACAACATACTTCGGTTGAAGGATCTACAATCGCGCCTGACAAGGCCAATGAAATCCTTGCCTTGCTGGAAGCTGCGCCTTCCACAGGTGATAAGCGTGAGGCTCGGATTCATTCCTTCAATTTAATACCGCTCTTCACCGAGGCCAGGAACGGGCGGTGCGGGCCAAACAGGTGTTGTACCTCGTTTCCCTCCTTCAGGGAACAGTAGTTATAGTCATAACGTTATGTTCCCTTTCAGTCAATCAACTTCGGTACAACATACTATGGGGAAATATAATCCCGCCCCAAACCGACCCTAACTGATACTAAATGACCAGACCACCCAGACCTGACCCCGCCAGGTGCAGCAGACCACCCAGACCTGACCCCGCCAGGTGCAGCAGACCACCCAGAACTGACCCCGCCAGGTGCAGCAGACCACCCAGAACTGACCCCAGTCTGGGTACTGCGCACACGGCGCGCTGCCTAGTGACTTTCCCCCGTCCCAGCTGTAAGCACACTGTGTGATATCCAATCGATAAAACCTCACTAAAGTGTGTGGTGATGCCCAACTCATCGCAGCACAAATATCTCCTACAGTCAATCCTTTAAACAACTCCCAAGACACTGCCAGACCCCTGGTGGAGTGGGCGCGTACACCGCTAGGTAGCCCTTGCCCCTTGCTGCTATACGCCAGGGAGATGGACTCCACAATCCAGTGGGAGAGACGCTGCTTAGATTAGCAAAACAGACAAAAAGCTGGTCACATAACCGGATATTCCAGGCCCGTTCAATATACGTGCGTAAAGTTCGTACCGGACACAGGGCATGTAACCTCCATTGCTCTTCAGAAGCAAAGGGAGGAGGTGAAAAGGGAAATAGCTCAAAAGCTAACGACATGTAGGACATAGCCATGACTTTTGGGGCAAAGGGTGCATTTGGATGCAACATCACCTTAGAGTCGCCCGGGGTGAACTGAGTACAGGAAGGAAAACGCGCAGAGATCCCCAACACGTTTCAGCCGAGGCCAAAGCCATGAGCAGGGAGGTTTTTGTAGGAGAGGATCTTTTCAGATCCACCGACTCCAGAGGCTCAAAGGGGGCTACACACAGCGCCTCCAAAACCAGCGCCAAATCCCATGTGGTCGCAATAGATTTAGAGACCGGTCTGAGACGCCGTACAACCTACCAGGAGCCGCACCACCAGAAGGTGAGTCCCGGTGAGGCTTCGTCAATCCCCACATGGCTGAGATAGCAGACATGTACACTTTTAAAGTAGAGAATGCTCCTATAGGAACATAAGGATGTCCCTCACAGAGCACTGAAAAGGAACAAGTCCTTTATCTTGCCACCAGAGCTCAAACGCTTGCCACTTATACGCATCCAGCCCTCTCGTGGACGGAGAAGCCCTTACAGACTGAATGGTAGCAATAACATTTGATGGGAAACTCCTAGCCATCAGATTGGCCCCGTCAGGAGCCAGGCCCATAGGAACCAAATATCCTGCCAAATGATAGTTTCTACAGGTCCCCGCCTAAAAGGCGAATGATTTCCACGAACCAAGGCTGCCTGGGCCAACAGGGAGCCACAATAATTAATGGTAAGCTCTCCTTGTGCACCTTCTCCAGTGTGGGCTGAATCAGAACCACTGGCGGAAATGCGGAAAGGAGGGTCCGAGGCCACCGGTGTGACAGAGCGTCCGTTCCCAACAGACAAACTCTGGTCCCTCATCGAGAAAAATAGACGACACTGCGCATTTTCTCGCTATGCGTAAAGCTGTACGGTCGGCCCTGCTGAACCTCTTCCATATCTGGGCAACAACCTAGGGGAGTAGTCTCCACTCCTGAGGAAGAGGGCTCCCCTGGATAGCAGATCCGCACCCGAGTTGAGGCAACCAGGAACATGCACTGCCCGAAGTGAGAGAAAATGCGCATTGCTCCACAGCAACAGTGAGTGAGCCAAGGTGAGGAGGGGGGAGGGACCGAGTCACCCCGTCTGTTGATGTATGCGCCTGAGTACACTGTCAGAAGTTCCAGGAAAGCCTCTTTGAAAAGATGCTAGGTGAGAGGGACAAGCCGAACGGGAGTATCAAAAACTCATAGGCTATTTCCTCGTAATGTAATCTCAGGAACTTTCTGTGACTCGGGTACATGGGCACATGAAAGTACGCATCCTTAAGATCGATGGTGGTGAACCAATGGCCGGGACACACGGACTGTAACAGCCGCTGGTTTGTGAGCATGTTGAATTTGTGAACTAGACACACATGTCTAGAATGGGGCGTAAACCCCCGTCCCTTTTTGGAACCGGGAAATACCGTCTGTACCAGCCGTCCTGGGCTTTGGACAGAGGAACCCCTCGTATTGCCTGTTTCTGGAGCAGGGAGGATATTTAATCCCTTAATACTTAATACTGGTGCTGAAGCCGGGGGAACAGTCGAAGTGATGATGCTGCAAAAACGTGGGGGGGGGGGGAGAAATCGGTGCATCGAAGTACATCTGTCTGTCCCTCTCCAGCAACCAAAGATGACACTGTGCCACCACAGTCGCTGCCATGCTTTTCCCGAGCGCCGCCAGAACGGTACACCGGGACATGCGTAGAATGAAGTCGGCTGTAACACAGATCTCATCCAGGAGCTCTGCGTGGGGCTGACCTGCGGTTAAAGCCATGCCCAGCTCCACCAACAACTCGGTCTGGCAGACCTGCAGCATAGTGACAGATAACAGGGATCAGCCGCCCCCACTGGAAGCCGAAAAGCACCAGTATTTGTTCAGTATTCACGCCCTTGTTTGCCAATGGGGCTAGTTAGCCAGCTAACTTGCCATCCCCACCCCCTCTATCCCTTCCAGATCCATGAAGGGGGCACAGCCATGCAGCATCTTTTTTTTATTTTTATGTACCCTTATTTTACCAGGTCAGTTGACTGAGAACACATTCTAATTTACAGCAACGACCTGGGGAATAGTTACATGGGAGAGGAGGGGGACGAAAGAGCCAATTGGAAGCTGGGGATGATTAGGTGCCCATGATGGTATGAGGGCCAGACTGGGAATTTAGCCAGGACACTGGCTTAGCTGATTGTGGGTTGGACCAGGTTGTTGTCAATTCTTCTATGAAATCCAGAAACAGGGGGTAGGTAGGCGCTTGACTGTGACAGCCACAGGGGTCAGGTACTTCCCACCGAACCTTGATGACTTCTGCCGCGGGGTTGAACACGGCCACTTTACCTCCAAATGCATAGCCGCCTTGCGGCACAGTTCTATTAACGATGCGTTGGATACTAGGTTTTCCGCTGCTGCTCCCGTAGCGTGAGGAGGTGGCTGTCCCGGGAACAAAGTCCTCTTCGTCACCCAAGATACCCCCGGAGCAGTCAAGAGACACCAAGTCGTCATCTGAACCTGGGCCCTGTATGTAAACAGCCGTCTCACTATGCCCCTGTTATTATACTAGTTCCACACCCAGTCTCGCTCCGCTTCCTGCACCTCAGTCTCAGGTGATATATCGGCATCCGGGAAAGGAAAGTCGCCATTGGTAACGCCAAGCTTCCTCAAGAATGCTACATGTCTTTCCAGGGAGTTCGCCCGCAGTACGTGGCAATGCGCACACTGATTGGTTCGCGCGAGGGCCACCTGGGCATGTTCCAAGCCGAGACAAACTACGCAGAAATTATCTTTCAGAGAAATACTTTAACCGTATGACTGAGGGTATGATCTTCACCCCGAACCTGCCATAGCCATCGTCGTTTCAGTGGCTTTCTTAGCCATCTTACTCATTGTGCTAGCAAATTGAAGAAAGCTCATTGTTCGTGAATAGGAAGCTTTTGTGAAAAACATTCAAACTTCAGCACACAACGTCCAGGGGGTCTACCACTAAGGGACAGTTTAGCTGGCGCAACTTAAGAAAGTCTCGTTTTCCAATTGTTTGTTTTAGTAGCGTGAATCGTTCCTGTTCACACCGAGGTGAAGAGAGGAATAACTGAAGGAATGAATCCGAGCCTCTAAGCTTATCACCTGTGGAAGGCGGAGCTTCCAGTGAGGCGCGGATTGTGTTGGCCTTGTCAGGCGTGATTGTAGATCCTTCAACTGAAGTCGCGAGAGTGCGACTCCCCATAGTATGTTGAACTGAAGTTGACTGACTGAAAGGGAACCTTGCCTTTGTATCATAGTATATTATTTGAATCCTTCAAGAGATCAAGGTTTGAGGACTAGTCAAGTCTTCATTTTTATTCTATCAACACAGATACTTTTTGGAGCAGATCACTTTCTTGGTTTTGTATATCATTTTGTTACCTCCTGTTTTGCAAACCGAAACCAGGCTAGCTTTTTAGTCGTCTTACAACTATTTTGTTTGTTCTCTGATGACATATAATAGCAGAATGATGTTTTATTACCACTGTTTTCACTGAGGCTAAGGGATTTCAATGGTCTTTTAAGTTAACAAAATCCTATTTTACTTGAATTGTCATATTATTCTTTTCGAATGTTTTTTGTTGTTGTTGTTGTTTTTTGTCAACCATGTTCCTTTACTGCTCTTCTGTCCACCAGTTCTGATTACGGCTCTTCTGTCCACCAGTTCTGATTACTGCTCTTCTGTCCACCAGTTCTGATTACTTCCCTTCTGTCCACCAGTTCTGATTACTGCTCTTCTGTCCACCAGTTCTGATTACTGCTCTTCTGTCCACCAGTTCTGATTACTGCATTCTCTGTCACCTTTATTATTACTAACACTTCATGCACATTCTTGCTGTGGAGAACTTGCACATGCATTCAACAGTCTTTTTCT